TGGTAATAACTACAGCAGCCGGTACTCAGTACGGCACACACATGTCACCTACCTACAAATACGCGCAAAGCGCTCGACCAGCAAGCATATCGAGAGGGGCCTTTCCAGCGAGGCCAGCTACTGCAATAATAACGCAACTGGGTTGTAAAACACACACATACATACATACATACGCACATGTTACACATGGAGCGATGACTCACATGCATACAGACATACATACAGCCCATACAGCCCATTGGCCAATGATTTCCAAATCATCTAACAAACCGTAACATCGGTATATTACTTTTAGGCTTCCGCTGTCCCGCCCGCGGTGGGGACCTCTGAAGGCACAGCGGGGGCCCGGCGCTTCTTCTCCTTCCTCTTCCCGGGTACCACCACCCGCAGTAATACTCGGGTCGGTAGCAGCAGCAGCAGCAACACCCGCAGCAGCAGGCTGCGAGAAGGGCATCCGTCTTGCATCCGTCTCCATTTCGACATCACCGCACGGCGCAGGGCAACGTACGTGATCAAATGTATCGCAGCTAGGTAGGCAAACAGGTAGCCGACTGTCGTACCCGTGGACGCATTGACACCGAAGTACGACAACAGGGAGTTGGTGTTGACGATGCAAGGTCCACTGCTGGGCATGCTCAGGCCGTACCTGAATATATGAATGAATGACAATATGGCAGTATTAGGTCAGGTTGGGAGGTGTGGTGGGTGCGTAGATCGAGGGTGTGTGTGCATAGATAGGTCATGTCTAGGGTGGGATATCGTCCCCATGTGTGGGTGATGCGGAGCTAGGCAGGCAGGCAGGATGTATATATATATATGTATATATGTAGGTATGTCGGGCGGTGGGTGATGACAGTGGAGAGTGGCGTTCACACGCTGTGTAGCGACCTCACCAACTCGCCTACGTGTACACACGTGTGCTAACGCAGACCCCTCAAGGGGCCACCTCCGGGGGGTGCCAGGGAGGCTCTCAAACGCAACCCGAGGACGGACAGACGGACAAACAAACAAACAAACAAACAGACGGACGGACGGACGGGAAACTGACGCAAATGAGAGGTAAGGTAACTATTGTCAACAGCACGCCGCGTTTCGTGTTTCAGCCGTGTTTCGTGTCTGCCCGGTCGACTTGGCCAAAACCGTGCCTGCCTTATGCACATGGTGCCGTGCATGTAGCATAATCGGCTGGACCTTGGGCTCAGCCCCACATCAGGGCTCCAGGTACGTATGGGCCCCCCCCGCCCGCCAGGTTATACCTTTGGGGGGTAACGCATAAACTCCAGTAGGTGTGACATGCACACTTTCAGTACAGTTGTACGTGCACATACATGCATAGACAGATGGACATGCATACAGACAGGTACCAATGTCACCTACCTTATCACTCGAAAGCGGGAGTTGATGGGCAGGAATTGTGAGTATAGTCCAAGTGCGTCGAGGCCCATCGCACCCTGGGTGCCCGCGGGGCCGCACTCGAAGGCACGGTTATGAAACTCGGCCCACATAAGGCCCCGCCAAGTGTGGTCGAGCGCGGAAATTATGCACAGGTGTCGGAGCCAGGGAAAGAAGATCTTGACTGCGGGGGTTGGGGGGGAAAAGTATTTATGCATGTACAATCATCACGCCACGCCGCCATACATATAATTCAGTTAAGGGAAGGGTTAGCATGCCGGTTCAATACACACACACAGCGAGAACATGCATTATACGCACATCATGCAAACGCGGCAACTATCCGGAGCGGGGGGCTTACGGGCTGTGGGGAAAAACTCAGCACGCAACAGGAGCTAGCTAGCGAGCGAGCGAGCGAGCAGAAGAATATCATGCGTGCGTATGTCGTGTGCATCGGTTTTATCGATGCTCGATGGAAGCAACCGCAGCTAGTGCTGGAAGCCCCCAACCCCCCCAAAGCCCCGGAGGGAACGGAAACTTGTGCGTGTCATGTATGTGTTTTGGGATCCTGTTGCTATTGATAACTTTCTGCACTAATAACTCTCAGCCACTAATCGGGTAATTCTTGTTACGTACAGTTTGTTGTCTGATCGAAGATCGTTTGTCTGATTGCAGCGCATGAAATAACGAATAGCGATTTGCATTTGATTTAGCTTCTTGATGTTCTTGACTTGCCAAACTAGGCACACATACACACGCGCAGAGCAGGCGCACCCATATATTGTAGGCCCCCACGAAGCATAAAGATTGCAGAGCTCCACACACACACACACACCATGCAGGCACAGGCGATAAGATGCTCCACTGTTCCAAGCCCCCAAAGCCCAAACCCAACACACTCACATGCGCCTAGGAACTGGGTACTCAGCAAGATGTTGAGCACGGCGAAGGCGACGGAGGCACAGAACGCAATATCTTGGTTGGGAGAGAACGCAACTGCGGCCTGCGGTGTGGTCAGTGTACGGCATCCGTACGACAATCATGTACGACAATGTTTTCCGTTGACTGCTTTGGGATGATGGTCAGATGCTTGGATGGGCAGGGAGCGAGCGAAGTGTTGCTTACCATGTGTTCATACGATTGTATGTAAGTTTATCGCGCAGGCAAAAATACGTCTCATATGCGGATACGCGGTATGTATATCTGTATTAAAGGAGCCCATTGTGCAGCACATCTGCTTTGAGGAGGTCTATACAGTCTGCAACACGTAATGAGACCCAAAATAAGGCGATGTAAGTGGATGTTTGGTTTCCCAGCTTGCTGTGGATGTCTCGCCCGGCCGAACACATCATCATACATACTCCGTACGGCTACGACACCCATATCCAGATATACACCATACACAGCAACCGTCGTACCTGAACCCAGTGGAGGGAGATGAGGGACATGAGTACGGCACATGTCGTATGGCGTGCCACAGCTCGTACATCGTGCCGCATGCCCAGCATGCCGTACCTATGTAGCGTGGAGATAAGAATGTCTGTCAGGAGATGCCGGTTCACTTCGTGCACGTTGTGTGTGTTAGATCATATGCACCAAGGAACTGTTCAGCCATGGACAGCTCAGCAAATTCAAATTGTGTCGTACGCCAATTTGCAGGAAAAGACATGTCACGATGTGTCGTTGTCGAGCTATTCTATTGCTATTTTGGACCAATAAATGGATTTTTTGCAACTTGTCGTTACGCGGTCAACCCGCCGCGGGATGGTTACCCGATTAAATCGAAAGTCATCGCAACCGCGATATTGAGCGGCGCCGTGGCTGTCACTTTCGCGACATAATAGGCGGAAGGCGCGTACAACCCTCCACCACCACCGCGAGCCGATGACTCCAGCAGGAAGAATCGCTTGTCTGGCATGCAAGGGGCAAAAAAGCGAAGTGCAGGAAACAGAAGTGCAACAAAGCTAATTTGAATTTTTTTTATAAATAGCAAGCAAAGGAAAAATACGCTTAGCACCTTCTTTTGCCCGCCCACCTGCCGCGAAGAGGCTCATGAACACGAAGGGCATCACCAGAAAGAAGAACACCAAAGAGAACAGCAGTATGGAGCGCATGGCGATGCTGGTGGCGTCATCCTGAGAGCGGTTGAGCGGGCGGGCACCAGGCGGTTGGTGTTGGTGTTGGATTAGGCGGCGAGTTTGGGAACATGCACAGGCCGGAAGCCGGCAGGATGGCGGCGACGCCCGCACCCATCTCCACACCCCACCCCGCCGTCCACACCCACCCACAACCCCAGGAGACAGTGGTGTGTGCTGTGCTGCTGCTGCTGCTGCTGCTGCTGCTGCTGCTGCGTGAAACACCCCCTTCCCCCCGAAATCTCTCTTTCCTCGTTCTCAGGTACAGCGGATTCTTTCCTCGTCATTGCCCTAACTGCTCTTGCTGCCCTTGCTGCTAGGGTAGAGCCACACGGCGGCGACAGCAGCGGCTCGCTTTCTTCTTTCTTGACGACGTCCTGGACATGGTCCATATTCACTAAAACTCTCTGCGGCATATTGCCAACTGCTCTTATGTAGCAGGAAGAGAATATCAGACCTTATTGGCCTTGTTGCGTGTCATCCTACGGCTTACACAACGCATGCCCAAACCCTACATGTAAAATGTAAACCTAATGCAAACCTTATGTATGTATGCATGCATATATATGCATGAGGTAGCGCTACACGATAAGCCGACAATGTAACCGGACCCACCCGCAAGCCGTACGTGAGGAAGTTAGAAAACATGCCGACCCACACGAAGGTAAGCATTCGTCCCGCCACGTCAGCTGGGTTACGAGTGGCAATGAGCCACTCCCGCCACACCAACATGCGGTACTGCCGTACCCAGCGCCCTGCTGCCGCCGCCAGCAGCTCTCGCATGGGCCGTGACGGTGACGGTGGCGGCGATGGTGGGTGCAATGCCTCCTCCACCACTACTGCACTGTCGTCATCAGCCGATACGTCGCCTGCGAAGCGCACGACGGTGGGCCTCCGGCCCGAATGACCGCTACTGCCGGTGGTGGGGCCTGATGACCTGGGGCCAACGGTCTTAACCGCCGGGCCTGTTGGTACTGCTACTGCCACTGATTGCGATGGCTTCGCTGGTGCTACTGCTGATGCTGATGCTTCCATCGTCTTTATGTTGGCATAGTCGGGCACACCTGCACTGACGCCTGGACCTGGCGGCGCCGCCAGTACGACAGTACGGAAGGCATCGGCGGCGGCGTTCAGCTCCGCCAGAGTGGCGATGACCTCTGGCCCGCTGTCGCCCACCTGGGAAACAGTGCTACTGCCGCTGCCGCTGGCCGCGTCACTAGCACCTCCGTCGCTGCCACTATTAGCCCTAGCTGCAGTGCTAATGGAGAAGCAGTTATCGGTGACCGTAGTCACCATGGCATTAGCCGCAGCAGCTGCCTTTGCTGGATCCATACGCCCAGACCAATGGTAGTTTTTACCGTTGCAGTTACCGTTTGCGTTGACCGTTTCGTTGGTGGTCATCGCTACCAGATCCATGACCCAGTCCGACACGAGGCCGTGATGTTCCGGTCGGTAGCAGTAGCCCAGGCGGCCTGAGAACCAGGGGAGGAGCTCGCTGGGGGGACCGCAGTACAGCAGCCGCCCACGACCGAGTACGACGACCTGGCGGGGGTGAGACGCGGACGTCGTAGGTTTGGTGGGGGAGGAGTAGGATCGAGGCGAGCGGAAAACCCTACTTCGAAATGGCTCCCCCATACCCCCCCAACCCCCACCCCCCCACCACACTCACCTGGTTGACCATGTCCCATATCGCCGCTCTGGGTTGATGCAGCGAGGCGATGACCGTCACCCCCCCCCTGCCGCCCCGGCCCCGGGCTAGCTCCGCCACGTGCCCCATCACCACGGTGGCTGCGAACGAGTCCAGGCCGCTGGTAGGCTCGTCAAGAAGCAAAACACGGGGACGGGACATGAGGCCTGGAGGGGGCGGGGGTAAGGCAGAGTGGATTGGCGGGAACGGTTTGGCGGTGGGAGGAAGGGCAAATGACAGTTGGGGGAGTTGGAAGTTGATGGTTAGCTAGCCGAAATCCAAATGTTAGATATCCGACTACCGACTCAAGATTCAAACATCCTAAAATCCGATCTCACCGTATTGGCTGGCCTAGGTGCGACGGAGCGCATCAATCGGAGCCTCTCAGGCTGGTTCTGTACGACTGCTATACGAAGCTAGATCGCGGTGACAAGCATGTGCTCTCCTAATTTCTTTCTGCAGTGTAGTGGATATTGGCAGGTATTGTTCCCCGCCCCCCCCCGGCATGTATTCGGCAGTCACTCAGACACTTGATCGTTATGTGTACCTCAGATCGGGGTCATAGGAGGCAGGGGGAGACAGAGCTTCCCACAGCGGCTCTTCTCGCCCCAGCCTTCCCTTTCTTACCCTGCCCAATACTGAGTCTCTTCCGCTCGCCCCCCGAGAGGCCTCTGAGCAGCAGCCCCCCGGGCAGCACCCCCCCAACGAGGCTGTCCATGCTGGGTGCCAAACCCAGGGCTGTAGCAACCGCCACTGAGCGGTCCGCTACAGCCCGCGGCTGGCACTGAGGAGGCTGTAGCACCAGGCGACCCGTGAACAGCAGCGCCTCGCGAACCGTCAGCTGGGGAAGGAAGGCGTCGAACTGAAGGGGGGAGTGGGGGGGGGAAGTGGGGGGAAGAGGGGGGTGAGCGTGTGTGTGTATGTGCGTGTGGGGGAAGGGGCTTCTTTTCTTGGTAACTGCGCGACCGTCATGTCGTTAGGGAACTTGATCTTGCAGAGCAGCACGGAAGTCTGGGTCTTCCCGCCCTTGCCGTACAATTTGTTGTCTACCTGCGGTACGTACGACGACATGGCCATGAAGGCCTTATTGTCCCGTGGGACTCCGTTGACCAGCACTTGACCGGAGCAGCCGGGTTGGAGGGCCCCGGAGTGCGCTAGTGGTTGCGGCGGTTGTGGCGGTTGAGGTGGTTGTTGTCCCTCGGGTACGGCCACTGCTCCCCGTACAGCCAGAAGATCCAGTAGTGTGGACTTGCCTGCAAAGGCGGGTTTAGGGGGATTGCATGCAACACTTAAGGTTGTTACAGCCGACATTTAGGCGTGGTGAGCGAGCGACCCCACACGGAATCGAACAGGGTACGGGGTTGCATTGGGGCTGGGATACTTGTCAAATGCGACATGATCCAATAAAAGGTCAGCAGCAGGGCTTGTCAACCCGTGGTGGTAATCCGGAAGTCGATTGCATAGCGTCACGTTGCCTTTGGAAATGCTACCGCGCAGGGCCGGTAATCAGTAATTCTTCACATGCCGCCCAGAGCTGGATGATTTCACTTGGAGGTTTCTTCCTTGCCTCTCCCTCTCATTCCCGCCCTTCCCTTCCGCTCCCCTCAACCCCCAGTCATCCCCCCCTCACACACCCCCCTCAACCCCCCTCACCCGCTCCCCCCCCTCACCCGCCCCCGACGGGCCCAGCAGCGCAGTCACCGCCCCCGCAGGCGCCCTGGCCCCCACATCCCGCAACACAGGGGTCAACCCCCCGGGGGAGGAAGGGGACACGACGGTCAAACTCAGGGACCGCCACTCCAGGGAGACCTGGCAGGAGGGGGGAGAGGGAAGGGGAGAGGGACGGGGAGAGGGACGGGGAGAGGAAGAGGGGGAAAAACGGGGGACGCGGGGGAGAGGGGCGTGTGTCTGATGCGTGTGCTTTGCTGGAGGGGGACGGGAGGGGGGAGGCCAGGGTTGACAGGTTGGGACAGTGCAAGTTAGTGGTAGGCATGGGCGATAATGGGGTACGATGGGCGTTCGAGAATGGGAAAGCCATCAGGAGGTGTATGAATGTGGAGCGTCTATGGAGGCACAGAGCTGTGGCGGATAAGAGGCAGACGGATAGATACATAGGGGGATGTTACAAGGTAGAAAAAATGAGCTCGAACATGGAAAGGTTAATGTCCTGATTTAGACATGTGTGCCAATTATAAGCCTACCTCCTTGGGAATCCGCCTGTCGTACATTCCCATCGGATCGTCGTACTCCAGTGCGACCTCCAGTGCCTTCGATGTGCCGCACACGCCGTTTGCGCCATCGCCGAATGTCCGCCGAGGCAGGCCAGCCTCTTCCATATCGTCATCGTCGCAATCGTCATCGTCGTTGTCGAAGTTGTCAGTTGTTTCCATGCCGTACATTTTGGTAACGGTCACGGCGCTGCTGCTGTCGCTGTCACGGCTGGTTTCGGAATGGTTCCCCACGACGCCGGCATGCCGCCTTGGACGCCGTTGCTGTGCTAGTGACCACTCGCCATCGGTAGGAATCGCCGGCAGGGGGGTGGCGGCGCCTACCCCACGGGCATCTGCATTGCCGTACACCATCCTCATCCGCAAGTTAGTTATAACTCCAAACTACTTTCGTTAGTTTCGCTCTTCATAACCACCTGCACCACACCCTTGTCATCTGTTGCCCTGTATGGCATCCTGAAAAAACTGAATCTAGCCATGCACCCGGGTTTTACGTTCCATACTAATAAACCATTAACAGAAATTCGTTGGAGTGATACGAACAGCCAGTTGTACAACGGGTACGAGCTTTGTCGTGTTGCGGCACTTGCGGTCAGGGGGAAAGCCCATAACCCGGGGGTGGCAATTTCCTGCCGTTCCTTCCTTTGCCGTACCTTGATCCGTACGGCGGGAGCAACAGCACAGCCGGAGGAAGCTGTCATGCAGGGCCCTGCGGTTCGCGGCATGATTACAGCGTGACGTGATTGCCGTACAGTGCCGTAATCCTTCAATACAGTAAAATTGCGTCTTTAACCAATCATTATATTATAAAATGCTTTTCCTATCGTCAGGCAAATTCACTCCGCGTTACGCAATATTTATGACGTTACCGCGCTCTTCACCGCAGGTGGCCAGGGGAAGTACGCATCCTGCTGAGTTCCACGTTACCATCCCACCACCTCACACAAACCGCACCACCATCATCATCGCCCTTTTTGTTATAATTATACGCGAACCAAATAGAGAAAATAGAGAAAACACCAATAAACCAAACTCTCAAGACCTTGTTCGTTACCCTAAACACGCTCTGCAGCAGCGCAATATCCGAAAACCTGCCTAAAAGAGCGCACATCTTTGCTGTCGTACCCACCGTTTAAGGCTAGGCATGTAGAGAAACAGAGCCCGGATGAAGAAGATAGCCGAGAAGATGTGCCCGAACACGACCATCGGCAGCCACAGTGCCAAGATCGCGCCATCGGGCTCAACATGGGATATGGCCTCCGCCACGTTGGGTGGGATCACAGGCGGCGGCGGCGGCGGGTGTAGTACGACGACGCGGTTGGTTGCGGCGGTGATAGCACTGGACGAGATGGCGGCGGCCGCAGACATGATGGTGACGGCGGCGGCGGCGGCGGCGGTAGTCCGAACCCAATATGCTAGAAAAACAGAGCAAAGCAAAGAAAGAGACAGCACACGCCGGAAGTGTGAACCGAAAAAAAAAGGAGGACGACCCCAATGTGAGCGACAGAAGGCTGTTAAGGCTCACACCCCTCCATGGACCTTGGATTCGGTATGCAGGTGACGGGCGAATAGCATGTGCGAGGCTGTGAGGCAAGTAGAGCGGACGGCATTTGACGCGCCTTAGCATTTGTAAGACGGAACCTCTCCGCGCTCCCCCACCTGTGTTCAAATGCTTGCTTGGTTCGGGGGTTGGAAAGTGATGGGCGCGCTTGGGCTGCCTAAGATCTTAGAGCAGCAAACGTCGACGGCAGGCGAGGTTCGATCAGGAACCAATGTCAAACTTCTTAATCGTGGTGATCTCAGATAATAATCAGGAATTTGGAAGCCTGTCTGCAAAAGCGTGGGCGGGCTGCTGCTGCTCCGATGTCTTGGAGATTTCGTTTCCGTGCCGTCGTTTGATCAGAAAAAAGGCGGTTGACCGCAGTACGCAGGTTTGACTGCCGCAGTCAATCGTGCAGAAGTGTCACATAAAGCAAGAAGTTCTACATAGAAGCTGTGCTCATGCAATTTTTACAAAATAGTTGCAATTTGTCCTACGTGCCATCGAAGCCTTTGCTCGTGGCTTTATCTCATGCTCGGATCACTCCTATATGTTTTCTACTTTTCGGGGCGGGACGGCGATAGTAATGCACCGCCACGGAAGTCGTTATTAGTACAGATAACAGCCGAATCATGCTGTGGTTGCGCAAATTGAAGCAACACAGCAGTCAGACCATCTTGTCAAAATTCACTCCTGAAAACAAAAGGTCAGTTGAGCTGCGCTTGTCTGATTTTTTTGATTGGCCATCACGCGTGAAAACGCTGATAAAAAAAACCGTAACACACGTACAACAAACGACTATCGACGGCAGCATTGTGCGTTATTATTGATTGACAGGATTCAAGTGTTTTTGTAGGTCACTGTCGTCTAGACACTTGCAATAACCCTGCACTTGCAATAACCCTGCACTTGCAATAACACCTGCAAAGCTATTTTTCTATATTAACATTCGGAATTCCTCGCTTTCTGGCGAAATTAGCAAGCGGTGCTTTTGTAAGCCACCTACACTAATCACACGCATACACATGTACGTACATATACACTTCCTATCTGCATCGATCATGCATCCCAGCTGTTGGAAAGTGCTCTAAGAGACACTCAGGCTTGACACTTCGGTAGTTTGGTTAGTTGTTTTTAATCCCAATACGACACCAGATCAGGATTGGCTGCGGCATGTTTATATACTGCTTGCGTGTTTATTATTCCTCTCTCCTTGTGTAACGATATGAGCGGGTGATGTGGTCACTGAAGGACTCTTATCTCTAACAGGTTATGAGCCCCGCGCTTTAGCGTGCGGTCAACCGTTTGCCCGGTGGTGCTCTTTCTGCTGTGTGCGGACCTAGCTTTTGGCAAGGATGAAATAGATAAAGAAGATTTTTATTTCTCGACAAGTACCTTTCACGTCTTGAAGGAGCACGTCATCGGCGTTCTCCAGCGTAAGGGACTAGCAAACGCGATCAGCCCCGTGCAGGCTACGCGTGACGAGGTAGCCGACGAGCAGTATCAGCGGGCTTCGGGCGTTATTAAGGATTTCATCCGTGTCCTGGAGAAGCCTTTGTACGCACGTCACGCGAAGGCGTACGATCTGTGGCTTGCCTTGGCTTACCCATCCCAGAACTCATGGGTACAGACTTCGGCCGCGCTTCAGCCATGCCATAAAGACCCACAATGTCCTTGAACATACGCCCCTGGGACACGGTAATCACCCTATTCTTCCGATCACGCTTCAGAGAAAGACCCAAAAATAAGCTCGCTTCCCCCAAATCGCGGCACTCAAACCGCCGCATGATGGCCGCCTTCACTTCTAAAACAGCCCTCTCGCTCCAAGCCGCAATCAAAACATCATCGACATAGACCAAAAGGTATACGATCTCGTCTTGTTTGCGGCGTACAAATAGGCTAGGGTCCGCG